TTGCGGCACCACCATGAAAACCAAAGTTCAGATCGCATTACCCGTCAACGAGCCAGCCCTAGACATGCCTGTAACGCCATCTCTGAGGAGAGACTGGTGGAAAAAAACCATCAGTAGGGGGTGCTGACGTCAGCTTAGCCAAGGGATCACATGGCCCAGGTCTTGTCTCAAAAGAATAGACTGAGAGTGATGAAGGACGGTATGGGTAGTCTGCTTTTGTCTCTGTGTGAATACAGTTGTACACCCACACTCTTACAAATCACATTTAAGCAAAAATATATTCCTGGAGTTCATGAAAGATATAAACAAAATCAGTAGGTATAAAGAGAATAGAGGCATGGAGAGGGCCAGGAAGTTACCTCCTTGACACACACACAGACACACACACACCACCTTAGTCTTGTAGGTTTCAGAACTCCAGTTATAAAACATCAAAAGCATGCTTCTTAGACCCCTTATTTAAAGGTTCAGAGTTTTCCCCTCCCCCTCACCCCATTACACGGAACAATATACTTTGAAAAATTTCCACTAATGTTTCATTTTCTGATAACGTTTTAAAACTGTTTTATTTATATTGCAATTGCCACTGTTTACTTCCAAGGCACGACAAGCAATTTGAAACGATTCTCTTCACTAGCGAGGAAAATTACAAGGCTAAAGCAAGTTCTGTACGCAGTCTTCCCTGACCATACAAACAGGCCGCCGCTTCTCAACTGTGCAAAGTGATTTCTTAGAAAAAGATTCATTTATTTTTATTTTATGTATATTAGTGTCTCATATGCATTTATGAATGTGTACCATGTGTGTGCCTGGTGGCCAAGGAAGCCAGAAGAGGAGTTACAGAGGGTTGTAAACCAGCACGTGGGTGCTGGGAACCAACCCTGGATCTTCTTCGAGAGCATTCAAGTGTTCTTAAGAGCTAAGCCATCTCCCAGCCTTAAAAGTTGCTTGTTTAAAAATAAAGCAACAGAACAAAACAAAACACAGTAGTCTGATGTTCTCTAAAAGCTTCAGTTTTTGTTTGTTTGTTTTTGTTTTGTTTTGCTTGTTTAGTTGTTTTTGAGACAGGGTTTCTCTGTGTAGCCTTGGCTGTCCTGGATGTACTTTGTAGACCAGGCTTGTCTTGAACTCACAGAGATCCACCTGCTTCTGCCTCCCTGAGTGTTGGGATTAAAGGTATGCACCACCAAGCCCAGCAAGCTTCAATTTTTTTCACTTTTTAATTTTTTATAATTTATTTACTTTATATCCCAATTGTAGATTTCTCCCTCGTCTCCTCTGGGTCCCACTCTCCCTCCCTCTTCCACCTATGCCCCTCCCTTAGACCACTGAAAGGGGAGGCCTCCTCCCCTACCATCTGACCCTAGCCTATGAAGTCTCATCAGGACTGCTTGGATCCTCTTCATCTTCCCACCATGGGGAAGTGATCAAAGGGCCCGTAACAGAGTCTGAGATGACCCTGTTTCCCTTACTAGGGCACCTACATGAAGACTGAGCTGCCTATCAGCTACATCTGAGCAGAGGGTCTAGGTCCCCTCCATGCATGGTCCTTGGTTGGTGCATCAGTCTCTGCAGCACCCTCCGCCCCCACCAGGGCCCAGATTTGTTGGCTTTGGAGGTCTTCTTGAGCTCCTCCTACACCCTCACTCTTCCATAAGACTCGCTGTGCTCTGCCCAAAGTCTTGCTTCGCTCTTCTGCTGGGTGGAGCCTTTCAAAGGGCATCTATGGTAGGCTCTCTTCAAACCGATTTCAGTGTCTCTTCTATTTGCCCTACTGAATGAGAATTAAGCATCTTCCCTAGGGTCCTCCATGTTGTTTAGCTTTTTTAGGTCTGTCGATTTCAGTGTGGTTATCCTGTATTATATGGCTAATATCCACTTATAAGTGAGTATATACCATACGTGTCTTTCTGGTTCTGGGTTACCTCACTCAGGATAATCTTTTCTAGTTCCATTTTTGCCTGTAAACTTCCTTCTTTTTAATAGCTGATTAGTATTCCATTATGTAAATGCACTACAGCTTTTTAAGGGACATTTGTCATCACTTAATAAAATTCTTGTGCAGCAAGAGATCTATGCTCATTATTCCTATGTACTCATCATCACCTCTAACTCAACCATGCAGGGCCAGTCTGAGTTCTATATGAGGGGGAAGGCAGAAAGAGTGGATGGGCTGAGTTGCCCGTGACTCTGATTAAAGTCAGCTGTATTTAGAAATGCACAAGGGGCTGGCCAGATGACTGCCTTCCCCTAAGTTGGGGTTTCAGAGAGCAGTCCCCTTTGCGGTCCTTTTTGTGGGGGAGGGGTTAGGATTGAGAGAAAACAGCTGTTAGCCGCTGGGGACTCAAAGACTGCCTGTTGGGTGGGTGAGGGCAAGAATACATGAAGTGGAAGGGGAGGCATCACAGTGTTCAGTAGTTTAGCAAGGCAAAAGGGGTACAAAAGGGGTTAAAGTTCAGCATAGGCTGAAAACAGGGTTTTCAGGATACTTAGGTTTAGGAAACAGCAAGTCATTCTTGTAAGGTATGGAGACTTAACAATGTATTACAATGTGGCTCCTGTTTTGTCTTCACTTCTTCCTCCACATCGTCACTTTCTCCGATCCTTTGCCATGCAGGTTGGTTCTTCAGCTCTGTGATTTTCCTGGTGGGAAGCGAAAGGAGACAGAATAAAATCTTCAGTTAAAATGCTGTTACAAGAGTTTGTGCTTAGCTAGCCTTGGGCAAAACTCTGTTATAATAGAGTTACTTAATTAGAGAATTGCACTTCTATTCAAAACCCACACCAATCCCCAGGCACTGTTTGTTTGTCCTGGGGCTGTTACAAAGAAAGTGTCATTATCAAGGAAGAGATTTTTAGGTTTCTGGTGGCATGAGACCCTTTTTAATTGCAAGGATCTGATCCTGCCATCTGCTTGCAAGATGCAAGGCACCCAGTAAGTACCTCAGGGAGGCTGGACCTCTAAGATCACAGACAGACAGGCCCACGTCTCTGGGAGCAACATCCTATAATGATGGTGGGTGGCATCTCCAACAGGGCCAACTCACAAGGCCACGATCTTCACAATTTTGCTTGTAATAGCATGGAGCAGTGACAGAAAGAAGGAGGAGACATCTTCCAGAGACGAGTCTCAACAGGGTTCAGGCAGGTTCAGAGAAACTTATCTGACAAGATAAGAAAGAACCAGGGGTTGAGAGAATCTTCCTACTGTGGCTCAGAATTTCAAAAACAAACTTGTGTAATTTTAAGTTCTGAAGGAGTCAAACGTGTAAATAGCAAGAAATTACAAGCTCATAATTTGATTGTTGAATTATTCACATCTCATATATACTTTTTGAGATTTGTGTTTTAAATCATAAATTGTTAATTTTATTTTCTCTGGCCCTTATTCAAGGTGTCAAACATCGAAACAAAACATTAGGATTAAAAATTTATTTTTTGATTGCACAAAATTATATAAACAAGAAATCTAAATAATTTAACTCTCAAAGGCTGATTTTTTTTTTTTTTTTTTTTTTTTTTGGTGGGGGGAGAGAAGGAGGTAGGATTGTATTTGTATTTTTGATGAAGTTATTTGAGCTTAAAGTTACACTGAGATTTTTAGGGTTCCTAGTTGTTAGAGGTTAGAGAGTAGATGCCCCCAGGATACTGTGAGGCATGTGTAATTAAGTACACGCACAACCATTCAGCGCTTAGATTTTTCCTTGCTTATTGCACGTTTACTAGTTGCATGCTAGGCATTGCTTCAGGAACTTATAAAGAAATAATTATTTTCCGCTTCCTATAAGAATATTCATCTTCTAACGGTTTACTTCACAGTTTCCACTCAAACAGTATTAGTAAATGGTTTGGAATAATGCAAGTAGAGAACAAGAGTGCTGGAGGGGGAGCTCGGCGATTCACAACACTTGCTGCTCTTGCAGAGGGTCCTGTTTGGTTCTTAGCCCACATGTTGGGCAGCTCACAACAGTCTGTAATCCCCACTCTAGGGGATCTGACGCCCTCTCCTGGCTTCTATGGGCATCTGCACAAATAGAAACGCAGCATACACACACACACACACACACACACACACACACACACACACACACACAGAATGAGAAATTTTAGTGGTTTTTCTTCTTGTATGGGATTTCTCTAAGCATAATAGTAGTTCACCTTAGCAAGAGGACCCTGAAGGTTTCGGGATAATGGATTATCCAGGCACGTGTCTGCCTGAGTACATACATGATCACAAACATTCAGTAGGGCTGCCCAGCACCCACTCTACATTTTTCGTCCTCTCTCTCCTCGAAGGACCAACCCTCTTCCCTCAACTGGCATATTTTATCTCCCTAAGAAAAGCAGGGAAACAAAAGCAATTGCCCATAAGAATACATCTGTAATATATATATATATATATCCCATATTTTGATTGATTGATTGATACACCCTTGCTTCCCTCCCTCCATGGATACTAGCTGTCTTCAGACCAAAGCCTACCTGTTACAACTACACTGTAGTTCAAATAACTTTGGGGTTACTGGAAATCTTTTTCATAAAATTTTTTTGTTCTTTATCAATGATCTTTGTCTTCTTTATTGTCTCTTTCTCTTTGGAATATAAACACACCAAAATGTTTTTTTTAATGAACGGGGAGGGGGAGATAAACATGTGTTTATATATTGACTAGTAGTCTATCCTTTCATCCACTCTTAAACTCTCTCAAATTAACTGCAACACGTGGCCACCACAACGGTTCCTCTCCAGTCTCACCTCCACAGGATTTATAATCACCGTGGAAAGCACATCTCTGGGTACCTCTGTGGGAGTGTCTCCAGAGAGGTTAGTTTTCTGGGTCTGTCTGTGAGAGCATTTCCACAAAAGTGGGAGTGTGAAAGGCTGCACGGAGTGAAACAACTGCCCTCTCCGATGTGGGTGGACTCAACTCAGAGAGAGCTCAGGAAAACAGAAAGTGAAGGGAGGTCACAGTCCCTCCATTCTGGGCTGGAACACCGTTCTTTGACATCAGAGTTTCATGTTCTTGGGACTTCAGACCTTGAGCTTCATGCCAGCAGCTCCCCTGGTTCTCTGGTTGCAAAAGGTGGGACTTCTTGGCATCCATTATCAAATGATCCAGTTTCCCTAATCTCTCTGTGTTCCCTTTCAATCTCTCTCTCTATCCTTTTAGCTCCAAGGCAGCTAAGCCTAGGGAATAGTTTAGCAGCCGGGAACTCCACTGGGCATGGTCTTCTTCTAATAATTTATTTGGCAGCCTGAAAACAGAACAGTAGCAGTTTTGTTGCTCTGGGGACAGTGACTAGTTACTTAAGACAAAGTTGAGCTGGTGGATAATAATTCATTGTTTCTTCTGTAGCAAAATGGCATGTTTGGGGTGATTGTTCGTGTTCCGGTTTATGTGTGTTGTTTTTCTGTGCTGTGGAGAAAGGACAGAGAAGTGTGTGCATACACAGCATGGTGTATCAAGGGGCAGAAGGGCAAATGGGAAAACCGCCCACAGTGTGAGGTGAAAGCTCACTTTGCCTTCCTAGTTTTCCTTGTGGAGGCTCCACTGAACTCCTTGGCTTCCCATTATGAGAAAGTCCAATTGGGGTCAAGTCAGAGGTCAAAAGGACTCATTGTGTAAATTACTTGTTACAGCCTCTTTAAAGGATTCTCTGAAAAGATATAGTATCAGGACAAAAGACAACTCTGGAATGCACAGTTTTCCTTTTTCAGGTTTTTGGGTGGAGAGGGTCAGGGACAATTGTCTCTCATCTGTTAACTCAGGGACAGTAAAGAATTCTTCCCAGGACACTTGCTAATTACAGGAGTTAGGGTTCTCGTCTAACCGGAATTCCGCCTGATCAGAGAACTCACCTCTTGTTTCCTTTTCTTTTGTTGTTGTTGTTGAGACTAGTCTTTTGTAGCCCAGGCTAGCCTGAAGCTTGCTATGTAGCTTAAACTACTGATCTTGCTTCCATCTCAGGAATGTTGGGATTAGTAACAAGAGCTGGTTTTATGTAATGCTGGGTGGACACTGAATCCAGAGCCTTGGACATTGGAGGTGAGCGCTCTGTTTTAGCGGAGATGTATGCCTAGCCCTAACCTTCTTCCCACAACCTTTTTGTTTCGAGAGTCTTTGTAGCCCTAGGCTCTATTTGAACTTGGATCCTCATGCCTTCATCTCCCAATTGCTAGGAAAGATCAGTTTTCTTCTCTGCTCCCCCTACTATATAAACTTGAATTTGATCATCTTAATGGAAGAGAAACCAGGCCAGAATAGGAGAGTTTTTCTATGCTTTCTGTCCAGGCAACTCCAAAACTCTCTGTGAAGGAACTTCTATGCCTTAAAAAAGTCCCTGCAAACAATATTCTTGGCTGACATAGTTAATTGTAAAATGATTTAGTGTTCAAGGTTTGAACTGGGTTTGGTGAAGGAGAAGCCGTTTTCCACCGGAGAACTGAGCAAGTATTCTCCCTGCTCCCCCCTGCCAACTGACGTGCTAACTTTTAATGTGTTGACTTTGGTCAGGCAGAGGAGCAAAGGAATCTATTTCACTTGTCTCTAGCAACTTGCTCTAGGCACTGCCCAGTGGTGATGGCTTGAAATTGGGAGGGGAGGGAAGAAGTTGAACATTAATAGACAGAAGGTCAAGAAACCCACAGTACAGAGGAGCTTTGCTATTCTTTCAACATTTGTCACCAGATGCTTGCCTCAAATAAGTCTGGCTTTGAGAAACGGTTTCCGAGACTTGCTTAGATGTGACAGCTGTAAAAGTCCCTTGTGAACACTGCGGAGGCAATCTCAGCCCAGCTGCTCGTGTTTAGGGCCATCCAGAATGAAAATGCTGCTAGCGACAGATTCATTTCTCCCTCTGCAATGGTTCTGACAAACACTTAGTGCCAAGTACAAGAATGAGTTTCTTGCATTTTCCCCTCCTGCTGGCAACTCAGCACCAAGATTCCTTCCTGACTTCTTGTCTACTGAGGGTGCAAAAACACAGCAATAAACTCTACAGCAATGGGGGCATCACAGTCAAACCTGCTGTAAGTGTGCATGATCTGTGTAAGGGGTAGTGGTGGAAGTGGGGGTGGAGGAATGGTATCCTGTAATTGTTTTGCAAGACAGAGACTATTGGAGGATGGAAAGTGGTAGATATATACCTGTGCTGGATAGTTTTATGTCAACTTGACACAAGCTAAGGTCATCTGAGAGAAGGGAACCTCAATTAAGAAAATGTCTCCATAAGATGGAGCTGTAAGCAAGCCTGTAGGGCATTTTCTTAATTAGTGGTTGATGGGGGAAGACCCAGCCCATTGCGGGTGGGGGCATCCACGAGCTGGTAGTCATGGGTTCTCTAAGAGATCAGGTTGAGTAAGCCATGAGGAGCAAGCCAGTAAACAGCACCCCTCCATGGCCTCTGCATCAGTTCCTGCCTCCCGATTCCTACCATGTTTGAATACCTGCCCTGACTCACTTCACTGCTGAACAATGATGTGGAGGTGTAAACTAAGTAAAGCCTTTCCTCCCCATCTTGCTTTTGGTCATGGTGTTTCATCAGAGCAACAGTAACCCTAACTAAGACAATACCAAATTCACAGACAATGTTAAAACCCACAGGGAAAAAAAAAATCTCTGCATTTCACACACATTGAAGTATCCTTGGAGAATTCCCTTGGGGTCACTCCTTGGTTTAAAGAGTAGTATAGAATTGCTTTCAATAAAAAATTTTTAAGTTATATATTTTATTTTAGATTAGATATAATTACATATTAATACAGTATTGTGACAGTTAGGATTAATCATCAACTCAGACCACTTGGGAGATGGGCCTCTGAGCATACCTGTTGGGAAATATCTTGACAAGTTAATTGATGAATGAAGATGCATCTCAGTTGTGAGCAGAAGTGTGACCTGGCCAGGGGAGCTTAGACCATGAATGGAGAAAGTGAGTTGACTGCACATTCGTCGATCCCTACTTCCTGATTGTAGATGTGAAGGGACCCGCTCCTGCTGTCTTGACTCTCCCACTGTGAGCTATGCTCTACGTCCTTGAACTGTGAGACAGACTAAGTCCTTTCTGCTTTCAGTCGCTTTTGTCAGTACTTCATCACAGCAACAGGGAAAGGGACTAAGACAGAGATTGTGGGGTGTTTTGCTGTGTGTAATGTGCAGGCCAGGGTAACCCTGTCCATCTCTTCAAACAATAATCACTTCTGTACAGTAAGAAGCGATCATTTCTTTACAGTGGGTCAGCTTAGACGGACTCTCTGCTACAGAATCTTAACGGGTACCACAAAAATTAGCCCTCGGGAATCTCACAGGCAGGACAGCTTCTTATGTACATTTAGGTTCTTTGCAGAGAAGAGTTTCTTGTAGCGAGATGGCAGTCTCCCCACCCCCTCTTATTCTTAGCTACTTATCAGATGGGGATCCCTTGCTGCTCTCAGATGCCATCTACATTTCTGTCTGTGTGGGCCCTTCCATCTTCAAGCCATCAGCATCATTTCAAATATCTGGTTTCTGTATGTGGTTTTGTCTGCTATCAGCCAGAGAAAGTTCTATGTAGAACTTTCATCAGATCATTAGATCAGATGCTTTAGTCTCTCTTCTTAAGGTCAGCCATGCCAGATAGTATGACAGACTCATGGACATCCAGGAAGGAAAGTGGTGGGGGAGTGAAAGAGACAGAGAGAAAAAGAACGTGGGTGAAAAAAATATGATTGAACCACAAGTTTCAGTGATTATGTTTGTTATTTACATAATGGTGTTAAGACCATGGTCCAGTAGCTCTACAAGGGCTTGGGATCCAGGAAAGGAGACTGACGCATTGTTTGAACTTGGTTAAGGGTGGGGACGTGTGAGGGTTCCTGGGCAGAAGGGAATTGTATGGCTTCAGTGTCCCCTGAGGCATTTAACCCAAACATCTTAGTCTGTCTCTTTTCTATCCAGAGGCAGTCATTTGTTCCTTGGGACAAATAGGATGAACCTACTGAGGCTGGGAATGCATGACAAGTCAGCCACAGTGCAGGGGGATGAGGGGAGAGGGGGAGAGAGAGGAGAGAGAGGAGAGAAAAGGAAGGAGAAGAAATATAGAAAGAAGAGAGAGCGAGTAAGCAAGAGAAGAGAGAAGGGGAATCAAAATGTCTAATATATTATATATTATATATTATATATATTGGAGAATGGGAAGCCTCTGCCCCTGGGCTGGAAAGTTCAGGGTAGAGGGCAGGGTATACCAGCCATGCCCTGCAGAAAGTAGGGACCAAGGGATGCTGGGAGCACCTGGGAGGCCAGGTCCACTTTGTTATGGTCTGAAACTGAACAAAATATCCCTTCCCCATCTGCCTCGTTCCTTTTCCCTTCTCCTTCTTTATTTATCTCTAGTCATTGTCTCTTATTCCCGGCCCTTTGTTCCTCTGTGGCAAATAAATGTCCTTTGTGCTGAGAACTTGGGCTTGGTGTGTCCTGGCCAACTCTGGTCTTTTTAATGCTGACTTCATTTTCTCTCAAACACTTGCACCTAGATTGGGGTCCAACATGCAGATTGTAGAGGACAAACATTCAGTGTATTATCAGATATGTACGGGTAAGAAGGCAAATGAGGCACAGGCAATCAGTTCCTTACATGAGTGTTGGCAGAGGGAAGATGAGGGAGGGGCAAACATTCAGCCTGTTACCAGATGTGAGTGTAAGGGGTGAGGCAGGGGCAAAGCTTAAAAGCTGCTGTCAGTCAATTGTCAACAAAATATGGTCATAGTCCATCAGTGAGGGAAGTCAAGGCAGGATCTGAAACAAACCACAAAGGAATGCTGTTTTTTGGATTGCTCCTGGTTAGCGAGCTACAGCCTGGGACCACCTGCCAAAGGGAATAGTGCTGCCCACAGTGGGCTGTGCCTTCCTACATTAACAGTCAAGACAATCTTCCCATAGACATGGCTACAGGCCAATCTGTTCTAGCTGATTCCTCAAATGGAGGTTTTCCTCTCAGACTCTAAGGTGTGTCAGGTTGACCAAGCTAACTAGGACAGGTGTTAATTGACCGAAGGAGATTTATTCATTTGTGACCAAGAATGGAATGTCTGCAGTGAAAGTGAGGC